GCCTGGTGAATCAGTCTCACTCCAAATGCTTTGTGCATTCATGGCTAGGTGTCCTCATCACCTGACACTGTCCAACAATTTCCCCATGACAAAATGTTTCCATCACCCAGCCCTTGGCCTAAATTTTTCATGGCATGATGTCCATATTACCTAGATCCAACGGGTCTATAAAATGGGATAATAATATCAAATGATTTGCCTGATGCCATTATTAACATTATAATGAAAAAATTAAGGCTCGCCCTCCAATTAGAAGGGACTGCCTGATTTTTGTTTTTTGTAAATTTCAAATATTTAGGGTTAATAAGAGTATGAAAGTATAAGTATGCTCTATATTTACCACAGTGAATTATTCAAAACTTAAGTTTTCAGATATCTTGAAAATTAGAAATTACATTATGAATTCCAGAAGATGGACCAAACCTTCATCTAACTTCAGCTACGAAAAAAAAATTCTAGCAACCACTGTAAACATCTAGCCTAGTCATAAAGCAATAATACTCTATACTTTATACACAAACTTTTCTCCTTCCTTTGTTTTAACTCGACATACCTGGAATAGATTATTATAAAGAAAAGGAATCTAGTAGGGCAGAGAAAGAGAAACTACTATTTACCTGTACAGTAATGAAAAAATCTAGCAACCATCCTTCGATAAATAAATCTAAATACAAGATCAACATTGGAGTATCTTCATAAATACAACATTAAAAGAATAACTGGTATTGGTGCAACAAACTTCCTCTTAACTACTGAACTTGTCAATAATTTTTTTTATTTCTAATCTCCAACAGATGTACATCAAATAAACACATGGCCTGTGTTTATTAGCTGTTCTTCTCACGCTCTCCATGCATCTGAAGAATTAACTGTAACATGTAAATTTACTCAAGATTTTAAAAATTCCAAAGAAAAATTTCCACAAAAAAAAATCACAGCCTTTACTCCACTTTTTTCTTTTTTATTTTAAGTTTTTACAGTGCTGCTATAAAACTATTATACATTAATTGCAATGCATTACAGCACAGTGTCAGATGCCCCTTAAGGCAGAGGGAGAGAAAGGGAGGGAGGGAGAAAAAGGGAGGGATGGGGGGGGAGGCAAATACCTGACACTACCAAGAGACTGGAAGTGAAATTATGTTCAATGATAGAACACTGAATATAAGAATATGTATCTTCTGCTCTTTTTTCTTTCCCTCTCCATCTAAAACTGAGAATGAAAAAATTATCTCCCACAGAAAGTTTTTTTTTTCACATAGAGAGGACACTATTTATAAGCACTTTGGAGATTCATTATGTGCATCACTAGCATCTCCTGCAACCGTTGTAGAACCTGTGATTGATGCTGCAACTCCTCTCACTTTGGGACGAGCACCCTGGCCCACCTGCAAACTGCTGTCTGAACTGTGGATTAGATTTACAAGTCAGTTTGCACAAAACTCAAGTTATAATCTACAAAAAAGATTCTGTTATAAACACTCCTAAATATTCATGCTAACAATCAACAAGTTAATCAAGATATGGAAAAGAAAATCTAAAAATATTAAACATTCAGCAAGTAACAATGGGAAATTATCTTACCTATCATCTGAAAGTTGTGAAGGTTCCATCTCATCTTGGCAGACTTTAGGCCCATTATCTGTTACATCATTTTCATAACAGTCCGCTTCAGGATTCATCTGTCTCATGTTTTGACTGGAGATCTCTTTACTGACTTCATACACCTCATTCCTGGAGATCTTACTGTTATTCTGATCTACTTGATTCCTATGATCATGTTCCTCTCCTGAACTGCCTTTGTTTTGCACTTGATCTACTTCTTCTAGATATGCTGGGTTACCAATGATGACAGAGTTATCAATGCCTTTTACATAGTTCTTTGGCATTTCAGGTTTCTCTTCCTTCAATCTGTTAAATTTGAAACCTTTCTTGCCACTTATTTCATCTTCATCTTCTTCTACTGTTGCCTGCTTGCCCTTGTTTTCTTTAGAAATATTTTCTTCCTTGTCTGTTTTCCTCTCTGAATCACCTGGTGTTCTGTCAGACTTGTTTTCCACTGTCCCCATCTGCATGATATATAAAAGCAATCTATCATATGAGAATGTTTTGGGCTGTCTTATCAAATCAAAGGAAAAAATTAAGAATTACACTTTAATATTGCAAAAACGAGATGGTTGGCTAAATGATACCAATGTGTACAATCATTCTATTCAAGAACTTTGCTTGATACAAAGAATATGAAAAATTGCTGATATCTAGTATACAATTGATTTAAAGGCCATGAGACTCAGTTGCAAGAATGTACTCAATATGTGCCAGCTATTTTGCTTTATTAGCAATGAGTGTTATGAGCTGTGGCTCCCCACCTGATATGGCTGGGCTCCAGGCAAGCCAACCTCCATGGCATTGACCAGAGCCAGTTGGTCAACAGTCATCTTCTTACGTCGGTAGAGGTAACACCCCCCTCCAATGCCTCCACAAACAAGTATGATGGCAAACA